GCTCCCTTGTCTTCAAGGTTGATCTTCTGCAGAATTTCTGATAATTCTTCTGTAGAGGTGCCATCATCAAATTTGACATGAATGGATTCTTCAACTTGTAGAGTTCTCCTGTTAAGTATTCTGTAGGCTTTGCTTGAACTTGAGTAGCCTAAGAATACACCTTCATCAGCTTTTTCTTGAAATACTTTCAGGTTCTCCTTTCCATTGTTTAGAATGTAACATTTGCATCCAAACACATGGAAGTAGCTGATGTTTGGCTTTCTTCCTTTCCACAGCTCGTAGGGGGTCTTCTGATGATTCTTGTGGATCATGCTCCTGTTTTGGGTGTAGCATGCAGTGTTGATAGCTTCAGCCCAGTATCTGATGGGCAGTCCTGATTCTGCAATCATAGTTCTTGCAGCTTCCTTCAGAGTTCTGTTCCTTCTTTCTGCAACACCATTTTGTTGGGGTGTTCTGGCAGCAGAAAGTTGATGGAATGTACCATTCTGATCACAGAAGTCTTTGATCACTTTGTTGACAAATTCAGTTCCTCTGTCAGATCTGATTGTTCTGACCTTCATATTCTTCTCTGTTTGGAGTTGCTTTAGCAAAGATGGCAACTTCTGAAGAGTTTCATTCTTCTTAGTCAGAAACACAGTCCAAGTATATCTTGAGTAATCATCGACCATAACAAGAGTATATCTTTTTCCACCAACACTGGGAGTTTCAACTGGTCCAAATAAATCCATATGGATCAGATTTAGAGGACAGGTAGAAAGATCTCCAGCTATGGGTTTGAATGAGGTCTTCACTTGTTTGCCTTTCTGACAAGCACTGCAGAGGGTCTCCTTCTTGTAGACAATGTCAGGCAGACCATCTACAATGTGTTCCCTTGCCAGTTTGTTGATGGTTTTGAAGTTCAGATGGCTAAGCTTTTTGTGCCAGTCCCAGCTTAGCTTTGAATTGTCTTTTGCTATCAGACAGGTTCCATCTTTTGCTGTTTGCCAGTCAACAACATAGATGTTCTTCCTTCTCTTGGCTGTAAGAACCACTTCTTTGGTTGTCTCATGCTTGACATAGCATAGGGTCTTGGTGAATTCAACTGTGTAGCCTTTGTCACAGAATTGGCTAGCACTCAGCAAGTTGAACTTTAGACCTTTGACATATGAGACATCTTCAATGATTATCTGGTTCTTGATCAGCTTCCCTCTTCCTTTTGTTTGCCCTTCCTTGTCATTTCCACCGAAAGTGACTCTGGGTCCATTGATTTTCTGGAACTCTGATAGGCAACTCTTGTCACCTGTCATGTGTCTGGAGCATCCACTGTCAATATACCATTCTTTTTCTGAGATGGCTCCAGCACACAGTTCCTGCAAGATTAAAAGGAAGATTTAGGTACCCAAGCAATGTTGGGTCCTGAGGGGTAATGCAGTCTTGGTAGTTGGTACCATTTTGGTCTCATCAACTGAAACCTTGGTGGATGGTACCCATTGTCCACCTGGTAGTCGTAGTAAACAGATGTATGATTCACTTTGGGCAGATGCTTGTGAGGATCATGCTTTCTGTTTGCATACTTTTGCATAGCCTTCTTTGTTGGAAAGAAGTCCCATATATTATCAAGATCAGAGGAGCGCTTAGCTTTAGGCTTCTGAGGTTGACCAGACAACCTCTTCTGCCTATAGTTATTCTTCTCTTGATATCTGCCTTTCTGATAGCAGTTTCTGATACCATTGTCATGAGATTGTCTGATAGGGTTAGGCCGTTGATTATTATTGTTCTGAAAACTTTTCCTTTTGTTAGAGTGTCTGCCAGGTTCATTAGTTTTCAAACTTTGTTTTGGTTTGGCCTTTAGAGTTTGTTTTTCTGGTATGACCTTCTCATGAACAACTTTAGTACCAGAAGTACTAGCATGGCAATTGGGGCTCAGAGTCTGTGGCACTATGACCTTTTTAGCTTTAGCAATTTTGGTGCTAGGCCTTACAGAAGGCTCACCAGACTCTGGTTCAACATATCCAAGACCAGGGGTAGAGTTGTGAAAGTCATTGATACCCTTCATAGAAGATTGCATCTTCAGAAGGCTATTGTATCTGATTTCAAGATGTTCAATTTCTCTTATTCTCTTTAGAAGGGACTCATTTTCAGCTTTCAGCTTACTGTTCTCTTCTTTAATAAAGGAATAAGATCCTTGGATAGTCTTGAACTCTTCCCAAAATGATGACATTGGATCATCATTTAAGGCTGTGCCTACCGAAGAGGAAATAGAATTAGAAGTAGAACATACCTCATCATCTGATTGTGCCATGAGGCAAAGGTCTTCAGTCTCTGCATCCAAGCAGCAGAATGCTTCATCAGAGTCGGAGTCTGAACTGGACTCTGATTCAGAGAGTGGATCTCTCTCAGCTTGTTCTGAGACAAATGCTCTTCTTCTTCTGTGTTGATCATCTGGTTTCTTTTCTTCTTCATGTCCTTGCTTCTTGGACACTCTTGGATAGGGGCAGTTTGCTTTGAAGTGCCCAGGTTGTCTGCAGTTGTAGCAGAGGTACTCTCCATTGCTTTCAGAGGACTTGGTCTTCTGATGTGGTCTTCTGATGGAAGATGGACTCCTTCCATCTTTCTTCATAAACTTCTTAAACTTTCTGGCAAAAGCAGCCATATACTCATCAGATAACAGAGTAGAAGGGTCAAAGTCACTTACCTTTGAGGTGCTAGCAGTGAGAGCAGTGGTGGTCCTCTCATCAGGAACTTCTTCCTTCTCTTCATGCATCTCAAACTCATAAGCCTTGAGATCAGAGATGAGTCTTTCAGTGGCATAAGTCTTGATGTTCTTGCTTTCCTGGACTGCAATCACCTTCATCTTCCAAGCTGAAGGCAGTCCCCTGAGGATCTTCATGTTGACCTCTTTGATGGTGAGCTCCTTCCCAAGCTCAGAAATCTCACTGATGAGAATCAGCAATCTCTCATGCATCTTAGCAATGCATTCTTCTGGTAGGAGTTTGAAGTCATCAAACTTCTTCATTGCAATGGTCAGCTTGTTGTCTCTTTCTTGTTCATCTCCTGCTCCAATCTCATCCAGCTTATCCCAGATTTCTTTGGCAGTTCTGCACTTCTTGATTCTGTTAAAGTATCTTTCATCAATAGCCTTGTAAAGGATGTCCTTGGCTATATTATCTAGATTGTACTGCCTCTTCTCTTCCTTGGTCCATTCTGACCGGGCTTTCTCAATCATCTGGGGCTGAGAGTTATCAATGGAGTGAGCAGGATTGATCTTCATGAACTGGATAAAGGGGCCATTTACCAAGACTTCCCACATTTCATCATGAAGAGCACATAGATGTGCCTTCATTCTGATCTTCCAATCATCATACTTCTGATCTGTGAACATAAGATGCTTTGCAAGAGAATTATCCATTATAATAAATAAGGAGAGGCTAAGAACAAGTGGATCTTTGTTCAGAGAGTAACCTAAAAGATTACAAGAACAAGGAGGCTCTGATACCACTTGTTGGTCCCGTTTAATATGGTAATCAGTCTAGAGGGGGGGGGGGGTGAATAGACTGATTGGTTTTTCAAACTTTCTCTAAGTCCAAAATGACTTATCAGAGAATGTCTGATTCTGGTGACAGAGAAAGGCTGGTTCTGATGTCAGAACTGACCTTGGCAGCGGATTCTGATCTGTCCGGGTAGCCTCAGAAAAATACTAAGGCAAGTGCCTTTCTGATAACTCTGAAAACAAGATCTGCTGAACACAGATTCCAAGTCTTAGAGTTAATCAGTTAATATCCTAAGTGCAGAAATGTAAATTGCAGTAAAGTAAATGACACCGGATATTTTATAGTGGTTCAAGGAACAACTCGTTCCTCTAGTCCACTGTTCCACTAGCTTTGAAGTAGATCGGTTACAAAGCTTAGTTCCTAGCACTTAAGAAGTTCTCCACGCCTTCTTCAAGTCTAGCTGCCACCCAGGATGCAGTTCCACGTCCTGATGGCTGGTCCTTTCACTCAGCTTCCCGGAAGTATCACCACTTCACTACTGCAGTTACTTGGACGCCCTTCTTTTCAGAAGATCCTTTTGAAAAACAGAGTTTTTCCTCCAACTTTCTTCGTCACAAATGATGTTTGATGAAGTTCTTGAAGAGTTGAAGAACAGGATGAACTTTGCTCGTTGTTGGGGATGAAAGATTTGGAGTTTGAATCTTCCCAACGTTGACTTTTCTTGTAGAGTGTTATGAAGGTTTGAATCTCAAGAAGTATGTTCGGAAAATGGATCAAGAGTTCTTAGCAAAAGTTGTTTTCCTGATCTTCGGTGTGTAGCTTATATACTGAGGTTGTCTGCCCGTTGGAGGAGGAGACAACTGCATTAAATGCGCGTACTGTTGACTTGACCGCCGTTTTGGAAGGTTTCTATTTTTATAATATATCTTCCCGGATTCCTTGGTCAATCATTTGCAATCAATCCTTCAGCGTATCAGGCTCATTTAATGTGCATTAAAAGCTTTCCTTTCATGCACAGTCTTGTAGCCGTTGGATGTTTTTACCCGTTGAATTCAGAGCTGTTGGATGTTGCTTGAGATTTTTCTAAGTGTTCGTCGGGCTCTGATCAGGCTCTTCTGATATGTTGGATTCTGATGGCTATCTGATGAGTTGAGTTCTGATGGTCTTCTGACTGAACTCTGACTCTGATAGGTCCGCTGATGAGTACCTCTGATCTGTAGTTCTCATCGGCTATCAGATGTTCAAGTTTATCAGCAACTCTCATAGGTGCAACTCTGATGGACTTCTGGTAAGAGAACTCTGATGGAGCAGTTCTCATAGAGCAAGTCTGGTAGAGCAGTTCTGATGCACTTCTGATCTGATCCAAAATAGAGCAACTCTGATCGTCGACTACACTAATACTTACAATTGAAAATTCTAATACATAAAATCTAATTTGGGGGTACTCTAACTTTCTAATCCTATAGCATCATCAAAATCTAATTACATTTATTCCTTACAGAGTGAAATATTCTTTTTTTTTTTTTAACCCGGAAGGCAAACCACCAAAATCAGTGGGGCAAATGCCGGGAGTCAGTTGCCGTTATTTTATTAAAAAAGAAATTACAAGAGAGAGGAGGACCAAACCAAAGCCTCTCACAGAGGCATACCTCTGGAAATTATCACCAATAAAACCTCCAATGGGGGGCCAGACCTTACCCATATGGAAAACAAAATTTAAATTCTAAAATAAGGAAAATCAAAATAATCTGAGTAGTAAAACTTGCGGACTGGGTAAGGCAACTCATCCACCTTTTTAAACTTTTTAAGGCAGCCCAAATCCTGAGTAGATAGGGCATGGGCCGTCCAATTGCCCTCCCTAACTGTATGTTCAAAAATGATTCCATTTCGGGCAACCTTATCCCTGAACTCTATCATCGATCTATCTCCCCCAACATTGTCTGAAAGCTTAATCAAAGATAAAGAGGAATCGGTCTCAACCTGAAAAGCAACGTGACCAGCCTCCAGCGCCATCTTCGTCGCATATACTAATGCTTGCCATTCTGCATCCTGGCTAGACAGAGCTCGCAACGGAAAGTGAACCGCCCAACACCTCCGGCAGATTTCCCAGGTAAGAAAGAAGCATCAACGTTCAGTTTATCTTTGCCCTTCGGTCTAATCCATCGAACAATCTGAAACATAGGTCTTCCAAATCTGAAATTCTTTGTCAACAAACCTTCACTTAACAGGTATGGCTCAATTTTTCTTCTTTTAAGCTTAGAGAAGCTCGCAGACCACATCTGGGTATGGTGTTTAATTTGGGCAATCAGATTCTCCTTTAAAGGAATAGAGTTAGATCCCCAAATATGAGCCGAATAAGCTTTCCATATAAACCAGCAGATCACGCCTGGTAAATTATGTTTGAAAAGATCACCCATTGTTTTGTTCCCAGCTTCTAACCACCAAAGAATAATAGAAAGTGATATTGTCATATTGAGTCTTTGTATTATGAGTGTATAAATAAGTGTACAAGAGTCTATGAGCTTGTGATCCTGGAAAAGTCCGGGAGTCGTGTTTTTTTTCAACATGAAGTTATTATACAACATTTTGAATGAATTAAAACTCGTGTGACTCAAGCAATATGTATGAATGAACTAATATATTGCCGGACTACATTATTAGCAATATCTCTTGCATTGTGAATCACTTTTCCAATCACAAGGACACTATGGTTTGGACCCTTACTCCCGATGGCTCCTACTCTTTTAAGAGTGCCTATGAGGAACTTAGACCCAAAAGACACACTGACATCCTTGCTAGTCATATTTGGAAGAGTAATATTCCTACTAAAATCTCTTTTTTCATGTGGAAGGTCATTAATAAATTGCAACCTTTTCAAGAAAAACTCCAACTCTTTGGTACTTATGGTCCCTTTAAATGTCCTTTTTGCAACGACGAAGATACCCTTGACCATTGTTACATTGACTGTGATTTTAGCAACAAGCTGTGGATGCACTACACTAGTCTATTTCAAATTGGTTCTCATAACATGGACACTTTAAATAGTGTGCTTAAAAAGTGGTTCACAGCCCTTGACGAGTTTTTCAACCTTAAAACCGTGGTTGCAATTTATATTTGCTGGACCATTTGGAAGAGGAGAAATGCTTACATTTATGATGAAAAAATTCTTCCTATTTCTGAGGCTATTAAAAATATTAATAAGGAAATTCGGGATGTAAGTATAGCCAGACCTTTTACCACTACTCACACCAATCCTCCCTTGGAAGACATTGTGTATGCTCCTCCTCAGGTTAAACCTGTAAAGCACAATACTCATGTTGCCTGTTGGAATAAACCCCCTGCTAACTTCATTAAAATCAACATTGCCATTGGCAATTTTCGGGGTGGAGATATTATCTCGGGTATTATTATCCGGAATGACCAGGGCCGACCTATTCACATCAATTCACATACACATATTAATAAGGACTATACAGCTAATGTTTGTGATATTTTGATCAACATTAGGAATTCTCTTATTGACAAAAACCACACTAATATCATAATTGAATGTGATAATTCACAGGTAATCAAGACTTTGAAAGGGGTGGCTAGACCCTCGTGGAAAGCGGTTTCCAATCTGTTTGCCTTTAAAGAGAAGTTCCTCACGGATAACATCCACTTTGATCATATCAAGAAAAAATGTAATCATGCTGCTAAATTTGTTGCTATTAACGCCAATCAGTTTGATAACAACCCGAACAGTTATCGCAAATTTGTAGGCATCGTCAAATTTGATGCAATTAGTTTCCCGTATGTCTTTTGATTCGGTAGGTTTTGGTTCTTGTCCCCCTACCTGTACCCTTTTCCATATAATAAAATAAAATACTTTCCATCAAAAAAAAAAAAAAAAAAAAAATGTAATGAACTAATTTGTGCTAACGTATTTATTGTTTTTATTATATTTTGAACAATTACACAGTAATTATTAGCCTTCGGTACGCCCCCTTCAAAAATATGTGGCTCTGCCACTGATTAGGATCTTGCATTAAAACGTTAACTCATGAATTTGACACGGGTTCTATATATATATATATATATATATATATATATATATATATATATATATATATATATGCGAAAGATTTAAATCTCTATGGTAATGTTTTATATTTTAATTTTTTCAATTTGTTAACATTTGAAGATAATTACGTTAATTTTGATTTATAATTTTATTTTTTACCTCAACTTTATTTAAAATATTAAGGTAAACGATCGTGTAAAAACTTTCTAAGACATTTTTTCTATCCGTCCGTTAATATTGTCTTGAAAATCTCACAAAAATTGTCTCATACTAATTTTGGTAAAATTTGTGTGGCTCTAAATAGTTCTTACTTTATCAATTAATATCAACCACACAAACTCACTTTTCTTAATAATCGCGTCACTCCCTTTCGTCATGGGATGGTAGAGATTCAAGGAAGGTCAAGGGATTGGAGACGCAGAAATACCGCTTTCAGTTCTTCCAAAAGTTCCTTTACGAGGCCCAATTTTAGTGGGACGGAGGTAGTAATCCTTCCGTATTTAAAAGTTCCCTACATTTTTCTTTTTAGACTATATTTAAAAGTTCCCTACACTTATATTTTTGGTAAGTTTACCCATTATAAAATACTCAACTACTCTTACTTTATCGACGTTTTATCTTCTTTTACATTCTTTTATACTATTCACTAACCCTACTATTTTATTTCGTAAATAATGTGTCCAACCTAATATAGTGAACATTAAAATACAGAGGGGTATAAAAGAAGGGGTGCAAGGATGAGTCATTACTCAGTGTCTACAGTTGCGGTGGTGGTGGTGGAAGTGATTTGGGATACCAGTGGAGAAAATTTGGTGGCTGAGAGTTGGTAACTAGTGGTTGGTGGGGAGTGAGTACACATTTCATTGAATATTCCATACTAACTCTATCCCACTCAACTTTACCAAATTGATATTGAATGTGAAATTAGAATAGTAAAAACTATATGGTTAAAATTTGTGTAGAAGAGAGAGAAATGAACAACAACAAATTTATTTATTGGTTAAAAGAAAAATGACAAAGTATTTTGAGACAAAAAAAATTGAAAAGTCCTGTGGGACGGGAAAATATTATAATTAGAGGTTGCTTCAAAGTAATACTGAAATGAAATTTACTTGGAAAACTATAATTAAAAGTTACTACGTACGTAGTACTATACTATTCTGGTTAATTATGGCTAAAATTATACACAAGTTATAATTAGAATTACTGGTATAACTACTACACGTAAGAGATCATAAGTATATAATTGTTGTTTTATAATTAATTAGTAGTTAATTAAAGAGCATATATAAATGACACATTTAATTACTACTACGTTTTTTGGAACATCCAAAAGTCCCAAGACCAGAGGTATGTTTCAATGTTTGTTTGTTCAAGCAAAAATACATATTTTAAAACTTAGTACAGTTCATAATTATTGTACTTGGGCTAGCTAAAATGTTTTTTATTTGGCCCGTTTTGAATATATTTATGCACCAAAAAACTACCTGCTTGCCACATGCTCTAATCGATAATATGCAACTCCATTTTGAGGTCACTACTTACTCCAAAAAAATATAAACAACTAAAATTTAGGAACAATGGTACCTGTAGTAAGTACGAACAAATGGACCAAGTTCACGTCATTACTTCTTTTATAAAAATGGTCATATTTTTTTGTGCATAAATCTAAAGTATCCTGGTCCACCAGACCTGGAGGAGTCATCAAACAGATACCATAATGAAGCCACTAATTTAATTACTATTTTAATCAGGACATCATGATTAATTAACATGAAGCTTCATTTTCAAGTGGTGCAACTCTTTTCCTTTTTTTTTTTTTTTTTTTTTTTAAATAAAAAATATTTTATTAATCAAAAGAAAGTACATGAAAGAAATACGGAAACAGAAAAACAAACAAAAAAGAGACAAACAAGAGTAGAACCCAACCCAAAGTTGAAACTCTTTTCCTTTTTCATTGTTTGTATAAGTTAAGAACCTATCACCAAAAGCAAGAAATTCGATAAATATGATGAGAAAATGATAAGCATAAAGAGTGGCAATACCGGCCATATATAGTGTTGCATTTCATAATTTAAGGTGTTGTTCTAAATGGGGAATTGGGGATTGATCATGAAAATTAATGGTACACTTATAAGATTTAATGTTGGTTGTTATTAGAACATTTTTATGTATTAATATGACAATTAACTTGTTTTTACTTGGACTGTAATTAGTAATTTGATTGTCTGGTCTGGTCCGATCGGTTTAAGTCTAGTCTGGTCTATTTAAGTCTGGTCTGGTTTGATCTTAACTGGTCCGATCTAATCTGGTAATATAATGTCTGGTCTCTTTGTATTTTATAACTACAGAAATCTGATTTGGTCTGATCTGTTTAAATCTGGCCTAGTTTGGTCTAGTCTGTTTAAGTCTGGTCTGGTCTGGGACTGGAAAATATCCAAGTAAAAACATCCATAATGTAATAAAGGAGATTAATTCATTTGAGTTGTCCAATAGTCTTTATGACGGGTCTCAAACCATCACAATGGACAAAACGCTCAGAAGTGTGTTAATTACTGCTCCTATAAATAAGAGATTATCTCATTGTAAACACAAAACATTCTTACTTGAATAGCCACTAAATTCTATTCTTGATCTCTAGCATAATTTACAATTTTCTTATTATTCTTGTATGTGACCAGTCCAATACATGTATTGTCTTCAATTAGTTTTAACTTACGAAAAATAGTTTAAACACATATAGACTCTCTCTTTTATGTAATTTTATGATTTGATCTTACTTCTTAAAAATGGGTTGGATAGGAAAAAATAAGCTATTAATGAGGCAAACTTACCATAATTAGTACTTGCACAACCAGGCCAACAACACAACTTCCTCCCAAAAAGATCCCCTATACATCATTAAAACAATCATAAAAAAGCAAGGTAAATAAGGGATATCATGTGTGCTGGCCGTGTTAAATGTGACATATCTAAAAATATGCATCATTACATTTTCTAACTGTTTTAAAATCCATTGTTTTATATACTATCGTATATAGTAAAGCTCAGTTATAAATTACTGACGTGTCTTACTCTTATTGGTTAACACAATTTAATTAAAACCTTTAATTATAACATTAATTAATTTAGAGACCGTAGATTCGTAGGAGAGAAAAAATAGGAGAAAAAAGTGGAGCATTAAAATAGATAAAATATACCGGAGTACAAACTAAGCATACAAAGGGTGGAGTCCCTTTTAGTTGTGATTATTAATTTCAAATTTGATAAATGTATATTTCTAACGGTGGTGCAGGGTTTAAAGCGGAAAAGTGGAGGATCATATATATCTACAGTTGATTATTGATGATATTGTTCTTCTTCTTGAGTGAAAGAGTAATTTTAGTATCTCTTTTTGTAAAAGGTTTGTGAACCCTGTGGCTTATACGTTAGCTAGAGCACATGTTAATTCACCAGATCACACGGTTATTTATGAGTCTACTCCCGATTGTATTGCTAGCCGTTCGGCTAATGACCTTTTGAATTAGTTTTTGACGATAAAAAATATAGATATAAAAGTTAGGCATATGTAACTTTTGCCAAAAAATTAGGCATATGTATCTAGATAAAGTTATCGGACATTGATTTTTGTTTTTTTAATAGACACTAAGGCAAAGAGGATGACAAAGAGCGGTCTTTCCCTGTCTTAGGGTTCGGAAATTTTCACCGACTTTTAGTGCGGCGGTAGATCGGTAGCTCTTCTTCTCGGCCGACCTTAGGCGCGGCGTCGAGGTTCGTAGTAGGTTAGTAGGAGTCAGGCGGTGAGGCACTATTTTAATTTGGCGAGAATCTCATGGACGGCAACGAGCAGTTTGCGGAGGGTTGTTCGCGAACAGAGGAGAGCGGAGGACGGACCGATTGGCAACTTGGTCGAGAAGCACGGTGGCAAAGGGATCGGCGAAGCTTCGGATGTTTTTGTCATTGCTGACGATGAGGCAAAATCTGTGGCTATGGGAGTCGAGCGACCGGAGGAGTTCCCGGTGGTTGGTACGATTCTTACAAACAAAGTGGTTCGTTTTCATATTTTCAGGGATCTTATGGCAGCACTATGGTGTCCAGGAAAGGGTGTCTCGATAAAGGAGATTGGAGGAAAGAGGTATCTATTTAAATTCTTTCACTTGAATGATTGAATCGTGTTCTAGACAATGGTCCTTGGTTTTTTGACCAGAATCTGCTTGTTCTAAGGGCCATTAAGCTGGAAGATATCCTACTTAAGGTCCCCTTAGACTCGGTTGAGCTTTGGGTTCAGGTACACAATGTGCCGTATAGTTATGCAAATCTGGAAACCGCTAGAAAAATTGGGAATTATGTTGGAGAGTTTGTCAAGTGGGATGAGGATCAGTTTGATGAAAAATGGTAAGCTTACATGAGGGTTATACCGTTATAGTTCGCACGAATGTAGGTAAACCTCTGAAAGTTGGAACCACCATTAGGAGGAGCAGGGGGGGATATTGGGTAGATTTCAAATATGAAAAACTTCCGAATTTTTGCTTTGTATGTGGAATTATTGGCCATGTAGAGAAGCTTTGCCCTGTAATGTATGAGAAGGGTGGAGAGGGATCGCGGAGTTACTAAGCCGTATGGCCCGTGGCAAGAAGAGGAGGCCAATAATGGGCAGTAAATGGCTGGTCTCAGCAGGAAACTTCTCAATGAGCGGCATTAATAAGGTGTGCAGGGACGTGTCAACTCAAGATCATGATCCAGATGAGGCAGGGGATAACAACCAGAGATGGGTAGTGGCTCCTACCAAGACAGAAGAGGCTCAGATGGAATAAGGATCAAGAGAATCCAAGAGAAGGCGTACTTGGGAGGTGTAGGATGAGAGTGGTGAAATGGGAAAAACTATAGCACTTGACATCCCAAAAAACGGGATAGGGGCGGGTGCTGGGACCTCGACCCGCCAGAGCTTCTGAAATTGTGGGCAGCAATGGTAGCTGAAAGACTTTTTTATTTTACTTGCTCTTTGTTTTTTATTTTTCATGTTCTGGATTCATACTTTTTTTTGGTTGTGCTGTGTTTTTCCAGCAAAAAAACTCTAGAACTTAGGACAGGGGATGATGAGTCTAGTCTGCATGTCTTTGGCTCAGGTAAGCGCATAGCGGGATCAGCAAATTATATTGCTTCTACGGAGGTGATTAATTTAAAGTCTGGTTCTATGGCGGACGGTAGACAGATGACTAGTTGTCACTTTGTAACCTGCTTTTGTTCTGTTATGATAAGTTAAGCCAGTTTCGTTCAAAAAAACAAAAAGATAAAGTTACTTTACACTAGGATGTTTTTCTTTTGGACTGAAATTTACTGGTCTGATCAGGTTTAATCTGCTTAAGTCTGGTCTGATCTATTTAAGTATTGACTGATGTGATCTAGGACTAATAACAGTCTAAAAGAAAACATCATTATAATAAATCTAATAGGACTTTAATACACGTGAATACATGATGTGATACACCAAGGTAAACTCCTCCACTACTTCCTCCAATTCTTCATCATATAATTAACTCCATAAATAATTAACAAATATTGTAACCATTACCATATAAAAACAATATAATCACAGAATTCTTATACCTTAAAAATGGTGGTTCCTCTCCCGGCTTTCATGATCCAGTATGATTCATTGAAGAGATCTCAAATAAAAAGTAGAGTTGAGCGATCTTTGCGTCCAAGATTGGTCACTCACCGAGATAATGTCTGTCAGGTCAATTGAAATCAACTTATTTTATACACTACTTTTCACTGATGAAAAAGTATGTATGTGTGTGTGTGTTTGTGCAAGAATTATGCTAATCTAAACTAAATTCTAATTGGGAATCAAGCAATACTAAATCAATAATGGACGAATAAATGTGGGAAAATAGATTAAGAATAATAATGGGATTGATGAACAATCTGAATACAAAGCTTTGAGTACAGAATATTGATAATATGAGTGCGGTTGTGATTATGAATAGTCGTCGTTGTATATCTTTGTGGATGGTGTATATATATATGATCTACTCAGCTATCCGTATTGGCCCTAACTACTAGGCTAGTGGCCGCACCAACTATCCGAAGTAATAGGAGCTTATTCCCTAACGCTGTGTTTGGATGGAGTGTTAGGGAGTGTTAGTAATGGAAGTGTTAGTAAGTGTTGACAGTGGCCCGGAAGGGAAGGTAAGTGTAAGTGTTAAGTATAAACTAACCCTGTTTGGAAGAGTAAAAAAATGGAGTGTTAGTAAAGGAAGTGTTTTCACATAAATTTACAAAAATAACCCTTTTTAAATCTTAATATATATTAAAATGAAATCGTATGGGGAAATAACTGTTCCTGCCATATACATAATATGTTCATCCGTGAAACATGCATGTTATACACTTTTATACACTTCGTAATGTTATACAAGATCCAATATAAGGACAAAAAATATAAGTATAAATAATATTTTAAAAAGTAAAAATACTATTATATGTAATTCTCCGTACTAATTAAAACTCCAAAAAAATAACTAATAAGGAGTATTTAGTCAATAAATTACAAACGTTGTTTTCAGTCACGTAATTGTATATATATATTGTACAACAACACGTACAACTCTTGAAAAAAATGAAGTGCAACAAAATAAGTTTTAATTGATCAAAATTAGGAATACAATCCTTCCGGCTAATATAATGTATCATCATTTTTAAATAGAGATAAGCAAAATAAGGGTTGGTTCATCAAAATTAGGAATACAATCCTTCCAATACAGCAAAAGGGCAACATAAAATTAAAAAGTTATAATTAGATAAGATTAATGCACTAGCTCATGACATCATGTCACAAAGAAGACTTCTCCGATTTTCAGGTGGACATCCAAGTAGAGCTCTCAACATATCAGGCTTCTGAACAAGAAACAAGTAGCTTTTGTTACGAGCTTCAACAGCAACATCTAACTCAACCAATAAATTCCAAACTTCATTTTCTGGAATTGGAAGTGTGGTAGCTTTAACAACTTCAGATGTTGAAGATGAGATAGCCTGAGCAACATTATCAAGTCCTTCTTTCAGAAGCACAACTTCTTCATCAACTTTAACCTTCTTTTTCCCCTTTTTCTTTGAAGATGCTTCCCCATGAGAGATTGAGTGAGATCGTATGACATCCTCAACATTTTGATTTAAGATTCCTTGAGGTGTACTTCTCTGACTTGTTTGTTGGGATGCATCAATATTTTCCAAATTCTCAGTACTTCCAAACATTGACTCAATGCCTTCAATATTATCCAATGAAGTATAAATGTCACTCTCCTCATTAGCAGTGGATCTCCTCTTCCTCATTTCTGCTGCAGTTTCCGCATGCTGGCCATCAACTCTATCTTTCCCAAATAGTTGACATAACTTGTTAAAGTTACGCATTTGCTTATTTTTCCACTCGGCGGCTTCTGGCTTGACCTATGTAAAATGTATACATTATCACATACCAACACATTCATACCAAAAAGTAAAAAAAAAAACATATTATTTGTAAATATACCTCAATTAACCGTTGCCAAACTTCAGGTTCAGCGGTGAACATTTCTCTAGCGGGATCCCAACCAAAGCCACTAGCACCATTTCTAAACAAGTCATAGCATGGATACCAAATTCGTTTAATATTTTTCATCCGATTTTGAATCTTATCCTTATCAATTGGTTTATCAGGAAACATTTCCTTCGATTCCTTAACGATATTGTCATATGCATGCGTAGTGAAAGTTCCACCTACTCTATTTCCTAGAGTATCTTGATTCAGATAAGCATCAATAAGAGCATCATCCATAGGCTTAGACCAATTCAATGAACTAGTAGCCTTACTTGCACCATCCACGTTTTTCCTACTTGGAGCCATTCTTGAGAAACAAACACACAAACACAACATCAATCATAATGCATTAATTATCAGTAAGTGAACATTAAACAAGCAAACATATTTTGCAAAAACACATGACGCAAATTGATAATATTAACTCCATTAGTAGTCATTTGATAGAATATAATCTCTAAAAATCAGAAACGAAAACATAGTTTAACATGTTTTAACAACTACTATTTTCATATATTATAATCAGCCCACATAGATGCAGCTATAGAATCCCTAATCATTTCTCCCATAGCAGAGTCTTCATCCTCGATACTACAATGGTGTTGTTGTGGAGGATCTTCATTTGCTAGTTCCCTATCAACTTCTGCAAGCAAATTGGGATCTGGATCTACATCCATCTTGTAGTTGTGCAAAATAAAGCATGCCAAAATAATCGCCTTTTGAGTTTCGACCCCATAATGGGTTTTTTCATTTGCAATGATAGGAAAAACTTTTTTTAGCACACCAAATGCTCGTTCAATTGCATTCCTCAATGCTGAATGTCGATGATTAAATAGTTCACGTGCATTTCGTGGTCCGTTGCGACGAGAGTACTCCTTCAAGTGATAACGTTGCCCACGATACGGTGTTATAAGGCAACTTTTCAGCATGAATCCGGCATCAACGAGATAATATTTTCCTAAAATAATAGAAGTGATCATATAAATTCTTATGTTAAGATTTATTAAGAATAATCTTAAAATTAATGCATTACAAATACCTTCTGGGGCTTTTAAAGGATATTCTCTCGATAATGCATCTTTGATAATTCTAGAGTCAGATGCGGTGCCTTCCCATCCAGCTAATACGTATGTGAATTTCAAATCAAATGAACAAGCAGCCAAAACATTTAGGGTGGGTTTATCTTTTCTACCACGATATTTTGGCGCCTCAGTAGGTGAAACTTTTACTGCAATGTGTGTTCCATCAATAGCCCCAACACAATCCTGACATTTTACATTTAATTGAGTATTTTATTTTTATATGTGCTACTATTAAAATCTAAAGATATTAGTAATTTTCACCTTGAAAAATGGATAATATCGAGAGTTGTCACGAATTTCTGGAGGAACTTCAGATCCGTTCGGTTGTATAAGAAATCTATTTTCCACTTCCAATACAGCTCTCAAGACATTGTGAAAGTGACGACTATTCGATTCTCCAGAACGATAGAAGAAAAAAGCTATCGCACGATTGGTCACATTATGTGATAGCACATAAAGGGTTTTTGCAACCTGTTCTTCAACGCTAACATATATTGAAGGTCGAAGGCCGCCATATCTTACTAAAATATCACAAAGACCTACGAATGCTTCTGCGCCCAATCTTATGATATTGCGACCTAAATAATGAGTAACCACCCTGTCGAAAAGCAAATTCCTTACTCTTTCTCCCTCCAATGTGAGAACGCGGTTCACTTTTTTTCTTCGACGCAATCTGACCCAATACATAACAATGCATATAACTTTAGCTATAGCTAAATGATGCATTCGAGTCACTTTATATAAATCTTTCACTTCAATTCTTCTACCGGACATCCTTAATAAAACATAAAACAAATGAAAAACTATCACGTAGATGAATTATAAAGCTATTGAATTATAAAGAAACTGGGGGTCTGACACGTCCTCCATTACTCATCTAACAGAAGGGTGCTTGTTAGTACCCAATTTTGATAGATTTTGATGATGCCACTATACTTTGCACCCGTACATTGTGACTAAATTAAATTCAAATATTAGCATTAAAATGTGACAAAATAAATGTAAAATTTTTGGAGCTAATAAAATTACACTGGAAAGTCAAAATGCAATAAGGTAAAAATTCTTTTACCTTAAAAGGATATTTAAATCCTACCAGTATAATTCTATTAGTACACAAAAATTAACCGTCACATAAATATATACATTGAATGTATATGATTGAAGACAAACCTTGACCGGCATTTAATACCGGATCAAGTACTGAGGGCCAAGGCATGGGACGCACAAATAATGCAAGACAAAGTGATCAGCTGCAAATTAATGCTCCAGCACAACAGGACAAGAGTACTACTCGTACTCATCAGAAATTCAACGGAAGAGATCAAACTATCCTAACCAACGGATAAGATTGATCAGCCAAAAAGCCTATAAATAGAGGCTAAACCGAAGGTTTCAAACTAAGCTTGAGCATCCTAAGTAGAGAAATATTTTCATCAAAGCATATACGAGCTATCTAGCAAAAGAGAAAGTGCAAACTCAACTTTACTCTCTGCTTAGTCTCATGCTTCACTAAGCTCTTAGATTAACTCAACACTTTTACATCTTTAGAGCTTAGTTCATAGTTGGAGGTTAGAACTTTCTTGTAACATTTCACAAGTTGTTGTAAACACTTAGGAGAACAGTAGTTCGGATCCTAAAGTGTGGTTAGATAGATAGAGTACCTTTTGATCCCCACTGGATCATTTGAGAAAAGTCTAAGGACTGAGTAACTTTGAGTGGTGTTATACTCATCGTGAAAAACCTTCAATCTAGGCCTAAGTGTTGTAAAGGCTAGATTGGCACTAAGTGTATTGGGCTTAATACTTTAGTGAAATCCATCTGAAAGAGGATGGGACTGGACGTAGGAGGATTACACCACCTCTGAACCAGGATACATTGTGTGTTGATTTTACTTCATTCAACAAAGCACACACCCAACACTTCTCGTATAAAGATTGAAGTTTGCCAGCAGAATCCTAAGCAGTTGTCTTAACCGACCCAACTGCTTATCCTACTGCTTAATTACTTGCTTTCTTTGAGACCATTTTCACACAAGAGACGTGCATCAATATCATCAAAAGACCTGACCAATCATTTTCCAGAAATTTATTTTCAAGTGTAACAGGTGCCTCAGCAGTCTTCTGGTGTCTACCCAACTGCTGAACCATCTGCTCATATACACATGTTGTGACACACCGAAAATTTAAATAAAGTAAAATAGTTAATTTTATTAGTGAGATAAAATGTTACAAAAGTGTCATTTTTATAAGAATATATGTTTATCAGATGAAACTTTGGCTTAAAAAAAAAAGGTAACA